GGAACAAGAACAAACGATATATATATATATATATATATATATATGTGTGTGTGTGTGCACAAAAACACACACACATATATTACACAATTGTAAAAGAACGAAGAATAACATTGCAACGTTCAAAACATTAATTTAAAACAGGTCTCAATACAAGAGTAGAGCAATAAATATTTATTATACACTGTTATATTAGAACTCTGAAGAGACGTTTTATTTATTTAAACGTTGAAATAAAATGTACAATTTTGTAGTAGTTACTTACATGTTCTAATGCAACAGTATATATATATATATATATATATATATATATATATATATATAAAGTGAACATTCAAGTCAACACTGAGAGGCGACAGGCTGTTTCATGCTAGACGCAATTGTCAGGCCATTACGTCTTGCATGAAACAGCCGTGTTGACTTCCATGTTCACTTTTATATTTACACACGCTCTATCTCTGATATTGAGCACTTTATCCCCTAAATATAGCACACCTTAAGAGTATATATATATATACATATATGTGTGTGTGTGTGTGTGTGTGCGTGTGTGTGTGTAAAACTTAGTGCATTTAATACAAGTTCGTTTTGAAAATGGGAAATTAATCAATATATGTACAGTTGTTGACAAAGTATTTTCAAACTTGGCGCCCTACAACGATTGGGGGAGGGCTTTTTAGTAAGCTTGACTCTTTAGATCAATTACAAATCAGTAGTGAGCTTGATCCTCAATGGGTGCACACTACTTTCGGCTTTGTGCCACATCTAAACTATGTTTAGTAAATCACTATATTTTCTAACTTCGATGTGGTGTAATAATTAGCCAGCCTACCTTGTTAGATCAATTACGACTGCGTAGCAAGTCCGATTCTCACTGGGAATCCCATACGTTAGGCCTTGTGCCACAACTAAGCTACGCTTACTAAATCTCTATATTTTATAACTTGGAGCACTACGAAATGGTGCAATGGTCAGCAAGCTGGTTTCTCAGTAGCGTGTTTACTACTCAGTCGGCGTTTCATACTTTCGGCACTCAGTCACAGTTAAGCTTTGTATTTTCCGGCTTAGCGGTTGTCCCTTCATGGGGATAATTATTTCGTATACGCAGCTATAAAAATTACTTTAAATAGTACTCTATTGCTATTCATTTCCAATTGTGATCTTTATGAAAAAAAATGATCGTTTAGTTGATGGCTTTTGTAACTGTAGCTGTTAGTTATTCAAATAAGAGACCTTTCTATAGTGAACCTACAAACGACATTAGCATTTAGATCAAAGTGTGTATCATTCGATTTGGAGACACAACCAGCGTTCCGACAGTCCCCAGGATTTGTTGAAGGCTTTCATCGGAGACGTGATGACCAGCATGAACAAGATCTACAAAATGCTCGGATGAAATCGTATCCGGCGACGCATTCAAACCTTCAATGCTGAAAGCAGTTTTATTGAATCAAATCCTTCTGATTCTCCACATTTGACATGTGTACACTTTTTAAATATAATATTTCTATTGAATTTCTTCATTTTCTTTATAGCAATTCATTACTATTACCCGACGTTCTCCGCATCAATAAAATTTAACAAATATCCTAAATCCTATTATGACTTGAGGCATATGAAATAAACGGCTACCAAAATGTAAAAGATGCTTAAATTATGACAATTTCGCTAATGCAATTTCATGGCATATGCAAGTAATTCTGTAAAAAGTAACGTCTGCAGAAGAATAAACGAAAGGGATATAAAAGTCCGGTTCATGCAAAACACCCATAATGTTATAAACAGTGATACTTACCTCTAACACAAGATGGTTGATTGATCAGTTTGCTAAGATGTTTCCTCATCAATTATTCGACTTTGTAATTATTCTGATCCACAAAAATTGGAAAAGAGGAATAATACAGTGAAACTGTTCTGGTCAATGAAGTATTTCCACCCAGTTCCATCCAATTGTCTTTTTCAGTGAATCAGGAAGCACAAAATTCCTTGACGTTTTCATATCAAGAATTTCTGAACTAGATTAAAATGAAATTCATTCTCTGCTTTCAATTGAACGGCGGAATACAAATTAATAAACCGTTATACATTCCACATGACTTGCGTTCGGGCAATTCGACGCGGTGTAATTGTTAGCAAGCTTTTCTAACTAAATCAATTACAACTGCGCCTTGTTGGTTTTACGTTTTCCACGGACATGAGCTGAAGTGATTATATTGAATCAATTGCTGAAGTCTACTGCTAGGAAACTTTGTTCGCTGTGTTGTGCCAGGCGCTTATTCTCGTTAAAATCCATCTTACACGTTTATAAATCTGCCATTCGTCCGTGTATTGAATTCTGCTGCCATATCTGGTCTGGTGCTTCTACTATATATCACGAGATTCTTGACAAGATTCAAAGAATCAAATCCTGACCTGACATCTCGACTTCAGTCACGTTCTCACCGACGTGACGTAGCTTTCCTCTGTTTTTGTTTTACAAATATTTTTTATGGAATTCTTCCGATGAGCTATTGTCTTTAGTATCTCGACTTCATGAAGTGCTAATAGTTTGACAAATCACTCTCAACATTTTACAGTTGAAACAGCCACATTCAACCGTTAGTTCAAATATAATATTTACATTTCTCCCATTTCTTGCCCATGGAACTCTTTTATGCTTTCTTGCTTCCCTGATCCTTACAATAGTCATAGATTTAAATGCAACGTCAATCGCTATCTTCTGTCTTCCTGAATTCTGTTCATTTTCTGTTTTTTCCACACTTCTTTTTCTGTAGAAGAATAAAAAGAGGGTTTTTTAAAAAAAATTATATAGGTAAAGTTATATATAAAAATACAAAATCATACTTAACAGTAATCTTCCAAAGACAGGTTATATCTTCCAAACTAATCTTACAAAGACAAATCAATAGGTTATATTAAAGAATAAAAATATTTAGAAATAAAAAATAAGATAAAATAAATTATACATTTAGAAATAAAAATGAAATAAATATTTTTTTTTTAAACTTTAAAATTAAATCAAAAACAAGTTATACTTAAAAAATAACCCTAAAATATATAGATAAAGAGGTGGAAGTGATAAAAGGAAAGAAAGTTCTTAGAACAGGGGACAATTATAAGATATAAGTAATATGATGTAAAAAATGGAAATATGAAATGAATTGGAATTGCAACTATAATAATTGTAATATTTGTACAAAAAAACCAACTTTTCTTTATCGATTCGTTCGTCACCTGAGAGACTTTACCAAGATAAATGTTGACAAAGTCCCTAAAGGGCCGAAAGATGTCGGTAAAGAAAAGTTTTCTTTTTGTCTTTATTCATACTGTTTTCTGAATTTTCTCACACACACACGACCTATTTTGTCTGTTCAGCATAGATGAAGAAATACAAATATGACTGCGCTTGTGTCTACAACAGGGATTATCTTGCTGCTCTGGCAGATGAATATATATATATATACATATATATATAATCTGCTGACTGAAGATAATCTTGGCATGGTCGGCTTCTGTCAATGTACTGATGGCGAGTTAATCGGATCCGTGCACAGAAGTGTCTCAGGCTACAGTGATAGATCTGATGACATTGTCCTTTCTGGCCTGACAGCATTGCACAACGCTATATTGCTATTAAAATTATAATTAAAATCTTAATTAAAGTATATTTGCAAGGATTACAAAGAAAAATGTTTTTAAAAAATAGCAAAGCGCGCGAATCAAATGAGAATGTTTTATAGACAGAATAAAATATGGAACAGATATTCTATCTTTTCAATCTAATTTTATAAGTGATTCATTCATTGAGTTTTTCTGAGACTATATTTCTCCATTTGTCAAAGATTTCACAGCATCCAGAAAAGCCTTCCAAAACTCATTTTTACTAGTAAATTGCTATTCATCAATCAAAACAATCTACTTCAAAATACACCACGAATTTTTAATTTGATTAGGATTTTGCGAACAGGCCGGCCAATTCAAATTTCATTAGTTTTCATCATCAGATGTGATAGGGCATTGTAGTAGTACTTTTTGAATATATATATATATATATATATATATATATATATATATATATATATGAGGTTCTGGGTAAGACGATAAACTACATCCAGTGATATATCCCGGAAAGGAATATATTTGATCGAAGTAGCTAAGTGGGTTTTGGTTATTGTAACCAAGTAGTACACGGTAGCAATAATCGACTGGTACTCGTCATAGTCGCAGGTAATATGCTTAGGAAATTGGTGTAGACCAATAGTATAGCAAATGGCGTAGTCCAATGGGCGTCGTCATAGACTTAAACTGTCGTACCTATACACCCGTCTGTATTTATGACGGACACCAGCCAATCATATTCCAGTGAGGGGAAACACAAGTGTATGCATATTCCATTATATTATCCGGTCTGGGAAGGCAGTTCACCTAGGGGAAGGAAGACCCTTATTTCAAACCCCCGCGGACTTGTGGCTATATCCACCCATAAAAAAGGCTTCAGGAGTAAGCCTCGAGGATAATTCCGGAGACAGAGTCCCTAAAGAATTTCGCCGTTTTAACCAATCCGTTTTGGCAGCTCCTGCGACGGTACCGGTCCCAAATTGTAGCGATCCTGTTGTTCCTTTGGCCTCACCGGTGACGTAGAGAGGTGGGACCTGCTACAAGGGCAACAGCCTGTCCTCCATATCACATCGCCCAGGCTTGCATCCGGCCACACCACACTACACCAAAACATCCTGAACTACACCCGGAGAAGACACTCCAGCTTTGCCTTTGGTGTCGACACAATTGGCGTAGAGCGCAGCGCCACTGGTCTTTCTCGTCGGTAGGAGAGCTTATCGGGGCTTATTGGACAGCCCGCTTCAAGCTGGGCAGCTCCCAACCAGTAAGATGTTGTCCCACCACGGTCTGCCTTCTTTATTGGATACATAGAGATTAGGAGACATTCGAAATCAGACTGCAACCTTCGAACCAGGCAGCAAAAGATTTTTCAAAAGAATTCAGCTCTAAAACTGGGCTGTTGGAACGTCCGGACTATACTGATAGTCCTCTCTGAAGACCCTCAAGACATCAGCGACTCTAAGAAAGCTGCCGTCATCAACGGTGAGCTCAAAAGGCTTCATGTGGACATCGCCAATGTAGAGAAAACAAGTCTGGCTCACTCTGCATCGCTGAAGAAGAACTACATATTCTTCTGACAGGGGAAGAGCTCCGACGAACCACAATTGTGCTTCACAGTGAGGAACAGCCTGCTGAATACGTTAGAATCAGGCAGCAATGTCTCCAAGAGACTCCTTACTCTCCGCCTCAACACAACCGCAGATCCAGTCATCCTCATCAACGTGTATGTTCCGACACTCTCTGCCACACCGGACACTAAGGACGAGTTTTATGACAGGCTGGCAACCACCATCAGCAGTATTCCGAGCAAGGAACAATTTGTTCTCCTGGGTGACTTCAACCCCAGAGTGGGTGCTGATCATGACTTTTGGTCTTCGTATCTTGGAGAGCCTGGCGTCGGCAAGATGAACGACAACGGCCAGAGACTGCTCGAGCTATGCACTTACCACAACCTGTGCATAGTCAATTCCTTCAGGACAAAGCCCCAGTACAAAGTCTCCTGGAGACATCCACGCTCAAAGAACTGGAAGCAGCTGTATCTCATACTGGTCATTAACAATGTCACACACGTTCTTATCACAGCGTGGATTACGATACAGACTACTCCTTGGTGTGCTGCAAGATCAAGCACTAGCTCAAGAGGTTCCACCGCGGCACGAAGCAGCGGAATCCTCGCATTGATGTGAGCAAGATGAGCCAGCCATACCTTGTGCAACAGTTTGCCAAGAGGTTTCAGAACGAGCAGGACCCCTCGCGGACCGGAGACTCTGCCAGGGAGAAGTGGGCGTCTTTGCGTGTCACCATGCACCGCACTACCTTGGATATGTTTGGGAGAAAGGCCTCAAATTCATATGACTGGTTTGAAGTAAAGTCCACCGAAATGACTCCTGTCATTGTGGTCAAATGCGCCGCTCTTGCAGAATACAAGCGGTCACCCAGCAAGAGAAACCTTCAGATCCTCCGGGCTGCCAGGAGCAAAGCTCATCAAACTACCAGAAGCTTCGCCAACGAGTACTGGACAAAGGTTAGCGAAACCATCCAGACAGCAGCAATTACAGGGAATATCAAAGAGATGTACGATGGCATCAAGACGGCAATGGGACCAATGCAGAACAAAACAGCTCCGCTCAAATCCACCACCGGGGAAGTCATCGTAGATAAAGGGCAACAGAAGGGGAGATGGGTGGAACACTATTCCGAATTCAACTCTAGGCAGAATGTTGTGACGACCGCAGCCCTTGATGCCATTGAGTGCCTGCCAATCATGGACCATAGAGGAGCTTAGCAAGGCCATTGACAGCTTGGCTTCAGGAAAGACCCCTGGCAGTGACGGGATCCCCTCTGACCTGATCGGGAACTGCAAGACTTTCCTACTGCTCCCACTGCACAAGGTCCTCTACCAGTGCTAGAAAGAAGGGGCTATACCTTAGGACATAAGAGATGCCAAGATCGTCACCTTCTACAAGAACAAGGGTGAACGAAGCGACTGCAACAACTCCAGAGTCATCTCGCTACTCAACGTTGTGGGCAAAGTCTTCGCTCGGGTCATCTTGTTTCACCTACAGCTGATCGCCAAACGTGTCTATCCAGAGTCGCAGTGCGGTTTCCGAGCTGAAAGATAAACGGTAGATATGGCCTTCTCCTTCCGTCAGCTCCAGGAGAAGTGCAGAGAACAGCAGATGCCCCTGTACGTCGCTTTTATCAATCTCACTAAGGCGTTCGATCTCATCAGCAGAGAAGGCCTATTCAGAATCCTGTCCAAGATTGGCTGCTCACCCAATCTGAATAGCTTGATTGAGTCCTTCCACAGTGATATGCAGGGGATCGTGCAGTTCAATGGCAGCACCTCTGGGCCCTTCAATATCTGCAGTGGGGTCAAACTGGGCTGGGTCCTCTCTCACATTCTCTTCGGAATTTTCTTCGCGCTGCTTCTGTAGCATGCATTCGGCGCATGAATAGAAGGGATTTAGCTGCGTACGAGATCAGATATCCGTTTGTTTAATCTCGCCCGCCTCAGAATAAGGACCAAAATATGTGAAGCCCTTGTTAGGGACATGTTTTTTTTTGCCGACGATGCGGCGGTAGTGACTCAAACAAATCTTAAAGCTGATCCACAGAGAGCTTAAACTATTTATTATAACAGAGCATATATATATATATATATATATATATATATATATATATATATATATATATATATATATATATATATATAAAAACAAAATTACCTCAAAATGAGTATAGTCTATTTCAAGCTGGTCTGAACCCAGCCGTCTCAGCTCTTAGGGTTAAGGTTAAAAGTGTTAGAATTATTGTTAAGAGCGTAAACAGCTGCGTTCAGACCAACTTGAAATAGACTATACTCATGTTGATGTAATTTTGGTTTTTGTTGAAAAAAAAATTAAATAGTGCCTTTTTTCTTTTATAAAATATACAATATATATATATATATATATATATATATATATATATATATATATATATATATATATATACAAATATGAGAGCAAGAAGTGAAAAATCATGAAAAATGACATCTTAAATTTAGTATCTGATTTTAACTTCTTATTTATAAAATCCAAATATACACATATAAACATACACACAACACATACATAATATATATATATATATATATATATATATATATATATATATGGGTGTGAGTCCCACTGTATTCAGAAATGAGCAATGTTGTGAGGAAAAAATCATTCAGCCATCTCATTTATACTCTGGCTTTCATCTTCAAAGACCATTCAAGAACCATCAAGAGAACAGTGAATAAGTTTTAAAAAGAGGGAAAAGTAGAGACAAAAACTAAATCAGGAGATCATTTCAACTTAAAGATCAATTAAGAGATCAATTAGAAAAGATCGAACTCAGTCCATAAGACATTTCACACGTGAGAAAAGCGTTTCATCTACGACAGCCCAAATAGCCATGAAAAAAGACTTGAAAATGAAATTGTATGCGAAAACTGTAAGGCATCATGTTACTCTAGGTCAAAAAGTTAGAAGGTTAGAGAGGGTGAAGATCATCTTGAATAAGTTGGAAAATTAACCTGGAATATATATATATATATATATATATATATATATATATTTGAACATAATTCCAGTTCTTCATATGCTTCCAATCCTTAGCTACAATTAATTAATGATGAACATGTCATTTTCGTTTATGACTAATTTCATCACAATTCTTCTGTTAAGCTTAGAGTAATTATACATTTTTATTGATCAAGGTAGAGCCCAATAGTGTTATAAAAACTGCGGAAAAATTCAGAAAAATATCTTTAATCATTTCTAAGATACAATAGTTCAGAGCTTAATCTAACAAATGGAAAATTTGCTTTTTACATGACAAGTTTGCTTGGACAATTTTGCTGTTAAACCCAGTATATATATATATATATATATATATATATATATATATATATATATATATATATATATACACACAAGTGTAAGGTAGATTAATACCTATGTCCAAACATATTTCTAAAAAGTGCTCAATACAGAGTAGAGCTTAGTTTATTAAGACCAAAGAATACAAGTTCATTTTCACTCTCACGTTTTCATGTGTGTCATCATGAACTGCAATGAGATATTTTGCTTCTTGCATTTCATATGTATGAATTTATCATTGCATACCAGTCTTCCATATAAACAAAACAAACTATCATTGTTGCAATGTCCGCATAACCATTCTAAAACAAAAAATTACCATCTTTGTTATTTACTTATTTAATTTATTGTAATATACTTGTAATCTCTGATGATGGCTTATGTAAGCCACAAGCTTAGACAGGATTAACAATTAAAACATATATCAAAAGTGATTTTCTTTCACGCTTCAGTGATAATGCTAAAAAGCTTATTTGACAATATGAGAGGAATTTACTTAAAATAAATAGAAAAAACTTGTCTATATTATTTTATGAAGCAGGCATTAAAAATATATATATATATATATATATATATATATATATATATATATATATATATATATATAGCCAAACAAGTCTTCAATGTTTAAAATGTGTTACAAATAAAAATAAAAGCCTTAAGTTAAATTTTAAATTTTGCCAATATTTCTTCTTTCCTAAAGGTTAAGATGCTTTGCATGTCTAAATTGTGCATTGTGACAGTAAGCACTTTGTTCTCAATGGAACTGCACAATTGTCTGAGTTCATGTCCAAGAATAACTACTCATTAATTCAAAATAATATCAAAAAAACAGTTGAAGTGTACATTATGTTGCTTAGTAACAAAAGTATTTGCCTATTTCATGCCGGCTCTAGTGCACAATCCCTGTTATAAAGCTAATGTTTTCCCCACTGATTGTTCAGACATTCAGGCTCTCTCTAATTAGAAAACTGTAAAACCATCCAGTTATATATTGACATTATTTGACTTCGTGCCAGATTAAGATGCATGTGTCCGACGTTAAATAGCGTGGAATTAGGGATTGGCAAATTGATTTCAAATTCTATCAGGGTCAATTGGGGATCATTTCTCCCTAATGTACTTTAGAAAGGCATCAGTCTATTTTTCCTCTCTCTCCTGCTATGGGTTAAATAGGACTGCTGTCTGAGCTCTGTTGTTTTGTTTTTATCCAGCCAAAAAGAAAAACAATGCAGAATTTAATGTCATGGAGAAAGCAAATTGGTAAGAGCTATAGCAATAGATATTTTAACAGATATTAAAGAAAAGGAAGTTCTATAGAGCCATAACACCCTACATCTTGAAAGAAAATAACACTTGGGAAGAAACTAAATAAGAAAAGATTAGCAAATACCCATGGCACAAAAAAAAATCATGTCACTGCTTTGTTTTGTGGTCCACAACACTTTATTAAGAAACAAAAATCAACAAATTTGGTCCATAAAATTACTTAGGATAGGGAGTCAGCTGAAGTTTGAAAAGTAAATTTAAAAAAAAAAAAAAATAGGTTATTTTTGGTAATGGATATAATACAGTCTCTCCGTAGTACAGCCACTAATTACGCAGGGCTCTTTCATGACATTAAAACTTTAGAAAGATAAGATAAAGATATCAACTTTTACTTGCTATTTTATATAAGAAAATATTATAATGGCCACTAATCTTTATATGTTTGAAACACATGTCCACTCTTCATAGCTGTTGTCATTCACTATTAATGATGGCTTGTAGTAAAATTACATCAAATTTGGAAAAGATGTCATTAAAAAAAGCTCATTAGATGAGATCCAGATCCTTCTCATTTCATGCAGGAACCCCTCCCTGACTGATCATTTCTTCAACAGTGTAGCCGTACTCAACAAATAAAATTACTTTAACATTTCATAACCATCAGGATATAAAAATTAATAATAAAATGAAAAAATAAGATCTTGAAAAAATATAAATTAATAATAAATAGCATAAAATTCAAAATTATTGAGTTACCTCTATTGTGGAATCTTCCATATTTGCCAGTTACCCACCAACGGGAAAATGCACTCTTCCCCTGTGGTGATTATCACCATCATACATACAAATCATGCGACAAGCATTCATTGGTTAATCTCCTGAAAACTAGCTTGCTGATTGGTCAATTCCAACCAATCAGATATCCTGCACACAAGGAATGAAATTTCCCACTCACTAACGCTTGAGCCAGTCATGTGATACACCACCTTATATAAACAAAACACGTGTAAGCTCTCCATTTTTTCTCGTGTCTTATTCATTGCTGCCAAAATGTAACCTTCAAGAACTTCCATCTTGACCATGCGGTCAGACGTTAAAGAACATTACAAATTCATGCAAATACAAACTCTCAACTCTTCTGAACTCTTACCAACTTTATCAATTCATATTTCCTAACATGCAACAAGAAATTTATTCTTCTAAACTACAGTTCAATAATTAATCCAAGTTATGAGCTCTGGTACAAATATTTCCAAATCTAAGAGACATAACTCATTCAAACCTTTAGCTTATATGCATGTATACCAAAACACTAATAAATTCAATTGTTATGTTTTGAACCATTACGTTCTGCCTTGTATTTTATACTATGTGCTATTTTACGTCAAATATAAATTGCATTGTGACCGCTACATGTTTGGTAACCTCCAGCGTCTTTGCTTTTCCTTTTCCACGTCATTCCAGTCAAAGATAAATAATTGTGGTGATGCGCACTACACTATCATTGCATTTTATTATGATAATATTATAAATTAATATAATTATATCATCTCAGTTATTTAATTAAAACTGTAATAAGTTTGATGATATAATAATTAGTAAATTTTTTTATTATATTATTTCAGTTATTAAATTAAATTATCGTATCTCAGTTATCAAATTTTTAATTT